TTATTGCTGGGATGATAAAATAAAAATAGTCCATCTTTTCTTGGCAATAGTTGCATTTTAAAAAAGCATCTTCTCCATATGTCACGTATATCTTGCGATTTTCGCGTGATTGAAGTTTGGTAACTAAAAGTTTATCCTGATCTGACAGCTCTTTTTTCGTTCCCAAGAGTCGAAATACATCTGGGGGAGGTGATAATATTGCAAAGTAGAGTTGAGTAATGATAGTAATAATTAAAAGGAAAATAATGAATAATTCAAAGTTTGTTTTTTTGCGTTTTGGTTCATTATGGTTCTGCTGTCGCTCTTCCAAATACTTCCGAACTTCTCGAAACTTGCTGATTATAAACGGTACAGCTATAAACATCAAGATACTAAACAAGTCGGAATTAAACATTTTGGTGAGCAAAAGAGAGCTAACGTGTATTACACACGGTCATTTGTCACGATAATTAAGGTAACATGGTTTGATTTTCAATCATGTGATCCTGAGTTATTTGAAAATCTTATTCTATAAATAACCTATTTTTATATTTATATAATAATCAAATTCATGCTTTTTAAGTTTATTTACTTTGACGAATACAACTTATTAGGCATTCATTCCTTTTAGTAGCTCATTGTAGTCGAACCTATCCGGTTCTTTATGAAACCTTTCCACCAGAGCTCGCTCTTCTTCCGTTCCTGTTACATAAAACTTTTGCATGAAATATGTGAGATACTGTGCATTGGCCAAAGAAAGTAATTTTGGTTCGAGCAGCTCGCCATGCATTAACACAATGCCCTTGGAATCCATAAGATCTGGAAAGTGTGTCAATGCCAGATATTGCCTGGCTTCTGATCCATGTGTTTTATATTCCAAGAGTGAGGTAAAGTAGCATTGGTGAAATTGAAATTGAAGGATATAGAAGTCTAAACCGATGTTTTGAGGTAGTGGCGCAATAAACTATTTTAAAAGAAAAAGGGTAAATAAATAAATAAATGTTTGTGAAAAGAAAAGAAAGAAACGAAAAGATTGTACAGTACCATTGGATATTGCTGTCCGCGTTCAAACAAAGTTTTGTACGTTTCGGCAGGAATTACGGCGGACAAACAACTTTTCGTGGAATAATACTCGGTCCACAAATTCCCAATAATCTCCGGACTCTGATCAATTATCTTGTCCATGTTTAATATTTTATCAAGAGACTAGAGAAGCAAATATCACGAAAATCAAGCTCATAAATGTCTTTATGTTACACGTGACGGGTGAATTTATTATTTCTTACTTTTACATTTGGTGGTAAACCCGGCTTTGCATTTCGTCGCGTTAATGATTCCGCCGGAGTTGTTACGTCCAAATTCGATAAAATCTCGGGCTTCACATTTAACTTCGCGGTTTTCAGCTCTTCAACAGAGGAAAACCCCTCACTTTAAAAGTTAAATTACATAGGTTACAACTTAAATCACTTGTTCACCGATTGCAGTTTTTGTTGAATTACCTTTTTGCTTTGTTCTGAAGCTTCTGGGCATACTTTCGCATATAATTGGAATGATTATTTCGTAATTGATATTGTTTAAATGTGGAGTTGTAATAGAAGTTCGGCACGGACAAGTTCGGTTTGTGCCGTGTAAAAGAATAAGGAAAAGAAGACGTAAATTTTTTACAATAATTCATGTAGGATTGCTTTGCATGAGATAATCATGAAATCATATGATATTTGGATCGAGAGGCGTGCATATAAAAGTATGTATTCGAAGTCTGATAAATTCACAATATCAAAATGCCTAAAACTGATCTTCCTTACGCTGCTGACGCGGAGTTGTCTCTATCTAGTGACGAACTAGGCGTAAGTTCCCAAAAGTATCTTTGTTTTTACGAGATCACCGTGCTTTGCTAACTTTTCCTTTACTTAGGTGCTCAGAAGACAATACGATCATGAAGGAGCAGAAGTCACGACGCAAACGAAATTCAATTACGCTTGGGGTTTAATCAAAAGTAAAAAGAAACCCGATCAACAATTGGGTGTTCAGTTGTTAGCGGGTTAGTAACAATTTTCAAAAATCACGTGTACTCAAATGGTTATATTTATATGAATAAATATTTGCTTAAACAGAAATTTTTCAGGATTCACCTGAGCGTCGTCGGGAATGTCTTTATTACCTCGCCCTGGGGCATTTCAAGTTAGGTGAATATACAAATGCCAAGGAGTTCAACAATCAGCTACTTGAAAGAGAGCCCGACAATTTACAAGCTTTGAATCTAAAACACATGATAGAAGAAAACCTCAAGAAAGGTATCACCTCACATTCTTTTCGGATTATTGGTTAAATAAGATACTTAAATTTTTTTATTTTATGTATAGAGGGAGTTATGGGAATGCTCATTGCTTCTGGAGTCTTTGCAGTCGGAGCTGTAGTTGTTGGATCATTACTAGGTTTAAGAAAAAAAGATTGAAAAGATCATGCGTTGATTTTTTCCATTTCACACCAGATGATGGTTTTTTCGTAGGATTGGTCACATTAATTACTTTGAAATCATATATTCATTACTGTGTGATAAGTTCTTGCAAATGATTGAAATTCTATATATATATATATTGACATAATTTATTTCACCGATTCTTCAAGATTTCTGGCTATTATATCTAACTCGCAAGTTTGCTGGAAAGAGTTGATGTATTCTTCGTTCAAGGAAAATAATATTAATAATATTAATCATATTATTGGAACTTTTTTTTAAAAAGAAAAAAATAAATAAAAATAACTTACTGAGTACTTCTTTTCTGTTTGATTCTTGTAATTCACCAGCTTACGTGGTTAAGACGAAGGTAATACACAGATCAGATTAGTGTCAATTGACATGCCATCACCAGGTTTAAACGATTCATATGCGAGTGAAATTTTTTGAGGGTGGGCCAAAAGTTTCGGATTGCAATGCTGAAATTCAGACTTTCATTGTTTCAAATTTCGAATCCTCAGTGACCCCTCCGAATATTTCAATCAACACTTTTGTCGCCATCAAAAAGAATCACTCACATATGTTTTTATTTATATTTACCCATGAGCAGTTCGTCCAGAATATAATATGCCTACAAAATTGGAAAATATAAGATAAACAATAATTCCAACAACAATAATCATATAGGAAGTGAAGCATTCTCGAGCAATACCTTATCAAAATTATAGATTATGTCTAATTCACACACGTTGCCAAAAAATTCATCGAGCACCTGCACGAAACGATGAATTATCTCTAATACATATAATTCATTTTCATTCCAATCTATGCCGGCCGCGAAATAAAGGCTTGCATATCTAATCCATTCGTGGAATTAATCGTGGGTAGATGGATAATGGGCGAATAAGAAGAATCTTTGTGCCAATACCTTTTATATATCACCTACAAGATCATCGCTATTAGCTCCGATCCGAAGCAAATCTCATGACAAAAGAATTGACAAATAGATACCTTGTGTTCACCATACTCCAACACATTACACATGCTCCGCTTACGGGATAATATGACGGTTGTCAAGTCCGTTGTGAGACTTGCTTTATCTTTATCAGAAAAGTATTGAAACCATTTCTTCAAACGCATTTTTCCATGTCTACTAAAAACGAAAAGATACAGAATCTAATTGGAATTTTTTTTTTTTTTTTTTGAATGAGTTACTATGGTAATGTAGCCGAGTTAAATTGTAAAGTTTATGCAATCCAAAATTTGAGGAAATAATGTTCATGAGGATGTCGCGATTTTAGAGAAGCATGAAATTTCACTCGCGTGCATACCATTTCTTCCAAAGTACACTAGTCTTGTTGTAACTCTCTTGAATCACCGAGAATGAAAAAATGCCAGAAAGGGAATTAGTGTTATTTGTACGCACTACAGAGGGGTCGCACAAATAATGGGTTTTTTTTTTCTACTCAGGCAAATAATTTGCTGTACATTTTCAATTGAACTGGGGTTCGATGATTGCAATAAATCACTCCGCGGTTGCAATTCAGGCAGAGAAATTCTCCCAGGAGAATTAAATGGCACCCGAAACAAAAGATCTTTGTTTTTTCCATTAGAGTTATGGTTATCGACCTAATTTTGTGCAACCGTTCGGTAAAAACATAGTGCGTATCCCCTGTAAAACAATTTTGATAATTTAGATGGAAATATTAATTGTGGAGATTATTTTGCGTAACTTAAGTCGCATACCCTCGATTCGCGATTCCTTAGTATCTTATCATGTTTCTTACAAGATCTGAGTACGACCGTGGTGTTAATACTTTTTCTCCTGAAGGGCGTCTATTTCAGGTTGAATATGCCATCGAGGCTATAAAGGTAAGTCGCCGTGAACGGAATTTCAAGGCCTTTCGCAAACTAACCTACCCTTAAAAAAATCAGTTGGGTTCCACTGCGGTAGGTATTCAAACCTCCCAAGGTGTTGTTCTGGCAGTTGAAAAGCGTGTCACCTCTCCATTACTGGTGTCAAGTAGTATTGAAAAGATCATGGAAATTGACACGCATTTGGGTTGCGCTATGAGCGGCTTGACTGCTGACTCGAGAACGATGATAGACCACGCTAGAGTTGAAGCACAGGTAGGTATCCTCTTCGAGTGCGAAAATGAATTTTTCATTATTCCATCTGGCTAATCCAAATTATCTTCACGCAAAGAATCACCATTTCACCTATAATGAAAAGATTAAAGTGGAATCGGTCACACAAGCCGTTTGTGATTTGGCTTTGCGGTTTGGTGAAAGTGCTCACGGTGAAGAATCCATAATGGCACGTTTGTCCAAATTTTCTGAGATATATCCTCCCTAATGGGATTTTACTAACTACATGTTCATCGAATTTCTAGAGTCGACCTTTCGGCGTTGCACTTCTGATCGCCGGTGTCGATGAAAAAGGACCTCAATTGTAAGAATGATACTTACATTAACTGATGTTCGCCATCGTGGAATCATTGTGGAACTTTACCGAATATTTTGAAAAACAGGTTCCATGCCGATCCCTCTGGTACTTTCATGCAATATGATGCTAAGGCCATCGGCTCGGGATCCGAGGGTGCCCAGACTGAATTACAAGAGGAATATCATAAAGTGAAGTGCTCGATTTCTTTACCATATCCGTTCGGTTTGTTTTAACCAATTATGTTCTGACAAATGACCTATTTACAGTCTCTCACCTTACAAGAAGCAGAAACCTTGTCACTAAAAGTCCTTAAACAGGTTATGGAGGAAAAGTTAAATAACACAAATGTTCAACTGGCATCCGTCACTCCAGAGCATGGGTTTAGGATTTATAGTGAGGAAGAATTACAAGTGGTGATTGAAAGATTATGACCGAAAAAAACCAACAAAAAAGGTTCACGTAAAAATCTTGTTATTAAATTAATTGTCATTACGCGAATTTGTAAATCTTACGAATTTATCTTATATTACAATGAAATAAGTTAAAGAAAGGACATTTGCAACCGGTTTTTGTTATCCATGAGATCATTTGAGAAAGGGCAGTTAGTATTGTTTTACGTTTAATGTGATATAATAAAATAAAATATTATTTTATTTTATTTTAACAAGATCCATATAATGTATCTGCTTAATTGTAATCAAGCATGTAAGTTGAGAAATAAAAAATCAATTGGTATTATTCTTTTGATGGATTTTTAAATTAATATTCTAAAAACAAAATAGTAAACAGTCTGGAACAAAAAAAACCACTTATAATTATATCTTATTTTTATAATAATTTAATAATTAATTAAATAATTAAAATAAAATTTATTTATTTATTTATTTAAAAATATAAAGAATAGAAAATTAAAAAAAAGATAGTAATTATAATTTTTAATTTTTCTATCATTTACAAAAAAATAATGATAATCAATTAATTTCTAATATTAAGTTATCTACTTTTTTCATATTAATTTAATAAATAAGATTTTAATGATCAATATAATTAAGATTTAACAATAATTAATTAATTAATAATTTTTATATTATTTTTTATAATCAGAAATATAATTTTTTAAATAATTTTTTATATTTTAACTTGATAAAAAATTTATATATCTTTTTTAATATGCAGTATATATTTTTGTGACTTAATTAATATTTTTGCATAAAATTATTATTAAATTATTAATAAAATAAATAATTGATTGTTATTTTTTTTTGTAAATAATAGAAAAATCAAAAAAAATTTTAATATGATATCTCTTTTTAATTAGAATTTAATAATATGATTTCAATATATTTAAAAAAATTTTTTATATACTGCATTTCTATTCTTTATATTTTTAAATAAATATACCGTATATTGAACAAAAAAAAAGAATTAAAATTTAATAAACTTTTTTTTTTTTTTGATAAAAATGCAAGTTTTATGAATTTTCCGTTTCTTTAATTAATAAACTGTAGAAAAGTTTATGGATATAAAAATAATACAATTTCTTAAGTTTTATATATCAAGAATATATTTATTAGTATATTTTGTTTGATTATATTATTATATTATTATTTATTTTAAAATCAACACTTAAAATGATGAACTTTTCACATGATTTTATTGCAAGTATTATAATTTAAATTCAGGATCTTTAATCGCGTAGGTTAAAATCGATGGATGGAAAAGCTCTGTATCAAACGCTCAACAAGATCCTAGACACTCAACAAATGTGGGAATTATTTTTTTTTTTCGCACATTCGACCTTGACCGAAAATCCTTATTCAATCTTGGTTGATATTGCTTTTAGAGAAGAGATAGGTTTACTGCCATATCAGAGTACCGAAACAAATAGCGAAATCTATCCGTTTCTTTTAATTGGAACAAACCTAGGGATACCTCTGGAGACCGTACGCGAAATATTTAAATTTGCATATGGAATATTTATGAAAATTCGTCAAAATCATGTACAAAATAGCTCGGAAATCACATCTAGCATTGAAGAAACCATAAGACTACTAAAACAATCAACAAGATGTTTGATGTTGTTGAATCCGGATTTTCATAGTGCCGCCAACACAAGGTTGAATTGAATATTTGCTCAAATTTATAGCATCATCTGTAGATTATTGATCGATTAATTGTTAGTACGCATTCACAGAAAAAAATTAATCGCAGATAATTTTCTTGATCCGATCGAGGAGTTGAAACTTTTGGATCTCATTCTCACATTTCCAAAACATACCAAAAACTCCACGGTTTGGTATCATAGGTATCTAAAATTATTCTTTGACCGCATTCACGATTACAGGCAGCATTTTAAATTCTATTCGTTGTCATCTTACAAAGGAAATGGGTTATTTCTAAAGTTATATCATTAGATCATTCCGGACACCTGACGCGATGGAAGAATGAAATTCTCATCGCCCGTCGCGTCGCAGAGTTGTACCCAAAGAATTATTACGCGTGGACTTATAGACACTGGATCATCACCCAATTGTCTATTGGCGCCAAACAATTTCTAGACGAAGAATTAGAAGATATGAAAACATGGATAGAAACAAATGTTTCCGATCATTCTGGATTCCACCATCGACAAAGATGCTTAGTAAAGATGAGTCAATTATATAATGAAAATGTGATTGACTTCTGTGGAATTTCTCGAAGAGATTTGTTGGGAATGATTGTTGAAAAAAGAATGGAGACTGCGCGAATAGATGAATCTCTTGCATTTTTATGGTTTGAAGAAATCCAACTAACAAAAGGTTTAATATTGAGGTATCCTGGCCACGAAACATTATGGTATCATTTGAGATTCCTTTCTTTTACCTGGAAATGGTTGAACGCGGCAGGATATATTTATCATCTCAAGGATTCCGATATTGAAGTTATCAGATCAGATGAAGAAGAATTGAGTGGGTTGTTAAAGGCGTGGCCTGATGACCAAAGTGAAATAGAATTTGCCAGACATTGTATGCAAAAAATTGATGTATTACAACTTGATGATTCTTGTGAAGTTCATGATAACTTGGTAAAACAGAAAAGATATGCCCTAAGTTACGAACTATGGATTTCAGAATTGGTAGGCGAAGCAAAATCAAGAGAAATGCAATTTTTTTTAAAGACTAAAATCCGAACTTTTTTTTCTTGTTTTTTAGTATTGTATTTCAAATGATGATGTTAAAACTCTAATCTCTAAACTTGCTGATATCATACCTGAATCTAATTACTATGGATCTCGAAAATTATAACTCTAACAAAAAAAAAATAAAATAAAATAGTGGCTAATTGCAGGTTATGTATAATGATTTGTCTGAAATAATTTTTTTTTTTTTCTTTTTATTCGTACCAATAGTTTTGGATAAGTTATGCAACAATGTTAACCAAGACGCTCGCCTATATCGATAATAAGATAAAAAGTCAATAAATTTTTAATTCCTTTGGGACTGAGGATAATCAGATGGTTATAAAAAATGTTGGTGCAAAGAAAATGTGGATTTCAAGGTGAAACCAAAACCGAGCCCTTGAAATATGAAATAAAAAAAATAAATAAAATAGACTGTTATTCGTATTTGATCACCAACTTGCAAGAATTTCAGCGTAAAAAAAAAAAAGATTCAAGCACAAGACTAGCCAATGGTTAAATCACGCAAACGCCTTGGCATCGTTTTTCAACACTTTAATATGAACGGGCGAGATAATGTTGCCACCGATTTTCTTTCCGATGTCAATATAAAGAATGTGATGGTATTATGAATGTCACTCCTCACGAACGTTGATACCGTTGATACCGTCGTCGTCAATGACATACGGTTTGTTATCATCATCGCTTCCTTGGCGATTGCCAAGTCTATTCTGACTACGACTGCTTCTCCTTCTCCTACTGTTAGATCTTGATGCCAATCTTTTGCTGACAGCCACTCCGTCATCATCATAATCATCATCATTTTCAGCAAATTTTTCGGGATCAGCGGATGAATTTTTGCTCATGGGCTTCGGTGTGGTAGAACGTCCCCTTCTTGGGGTTGTAAGATCAACCAACTTAGAGTGGTCGCTTATTTGATCGACACGTCCATTACTCATGCTGAAGTTACTGACATTAGTATCGTTGATACCATTTGTTCCATTAGAGATACTTGAAATATTCTGTGGTCCATCAAGAGAGGAAATGCCATTACGTTGACTTCGTCGAGAAGGATTAAAGTGGTTACAATTTTTACAGATATATTGAACGTCCTCAAAATCGGCAGGAAATGTCAGTCCATTCCATGTGAAACATTTTTGACAGATCAATGCATACTTCTGTTCATCTTCGCCAACGAGAATATCCACTAACTTATCGTACCAACGTCGTTGCACAGGCGTTATTGAACTTGGTGAATTTGTAGAATAATTGCTCGGAAACGAATCGTTTCCGCCCACGCCTGCTGAAATCACATTCGTTTTTTCTTCATTGATATCTTTATGATCAGATGATGTCTGAGATGTCTGAGGAGTCTGAGGAGTCTGGGAATTAGGTGGCAAACGTTGCCTCAAGTTGGGATTGATTTGCTGACCAGGCCTTAAAACAACTCCTTTCTGCCCCTGCGGTGGATGTGGGACTGATTGATTTGCTTCTTTTGGAGAATCATAACGTTCTACCAAGTTCTTTGTAACATAATAAGCTGTCTTTTTCTTCAACTCCTCAATTTTGAGCTTTTGTTTTGCTCTGAGTTGTTCTAGCTGGGCCTGTTCATTTGACTCTATTCGTCTATACCACAAAGTCTCAAATTTATAACCAATCACTATGAGAAAAGGACCCGTGAAGACGGGCGCCAATTTTAGCAGGTCCCAACCTTCTTCTTCTTCGGTAGACATGTATACAAAATACCAATAACCTGCCACATATGTGACATAGGCTATTAGCGAGTATACGATCAAAATTATCAGTGCATTACGTTCTCGGATTCTTATTTCACGAAGTCGAATCTCAGCTCTTCGAATGTTTTCGTCGAGCTCAGATAAGATTTTTTCATAATTGTCCTCAGTCTTTGATCGAAAGCGTGAGAATAGGGCACCCATTGTGAATATTAAATACGAACAAGAACTCTGCCTAACTTTCGAAAACTATCTACCCAAATGATTAGGAAACTCACGAGGTTATGAAGAAGAAGCGAGTAGGCCTTTGATGAAGTAGTGACCGCACCTTTGGCACAACCTATAAAAAGACTTTCGCAGCGACAAGATGTTGGATGGAAAATTACCAAATTTGGAAAGATAGTGATTTCACAGGTGACCGAGTTTACCTAGTTGGTTATCGATTTGCAATTTACAGGAAACAATCTGCTGAACATCCCTCAGAGTTAAAGACACGTAATCAAACTAGCCGTTAAACAAGTTTTTTTTTTTAATAATATTACTCCACATAATCGACAGCAATTATTACGTAGACAATATCGAATGCATCACCGCAGGCGGGCCAGCCAAAAATACGGTTTAAGAAATTTGAAATTTCACGTGATATTCATGCAACACAATCGATAGTCTTTGAAGATCCGCACAAAGTTCATATACAATTAATATACATCATATAATATATTATAAGTTTGTAAAACGAGTCCGCCTTATCATAAATCTGAAACAAAATACGTGGAATTCAGAGAATTAGTTTAATGACGTATCTATACTCTATAAGGAAAGATCGATAGGTCGTAGATCGATATCAGCAGCTATTTTTATGTCTTGCAGGGAAAAAAAAGGAAAGAACCCAAAGGTATCCAGTTGGAACCATTGGGTAACAATTCCCCCATCGCGATCGACTCAACAGGATCTGCCATTCATCAAAGAGAACCCTCGAAGAAAAGTTCACCCTTGATCTCACGCAATGTACTTCCCAATCATCGAATGGATATAGTTTTCATCATTTCGATACTTTCGAGCGTTAAGATTATATATTACCTACCAATTCTAAGTAGGAGATAATAAATATTAGCATTGAACCTCAATCATTAATCGCTTAAGATTTTCAAAAATATCGAGATCGATCAGCATCAAAAGGTATAATCACAAAATATTCATTTGAAACACGGATTTGATCAAAACATCATGTCTAAGTGGGTTCATGGTACATAAGTTTAAAAAAATACATACTGATTGATAACTTGCGTGCATACGGTGTCCGATTTCTGGAAAAATATTAATGAACATTAGAGACTACAAACATTAAATCGACTGAAAAAGCTGATTTTTTTTTTTTTCGTCAGGAAATTATTTGGAAATTTGCTTTCTCTCATGAACTTCAGAAGCAGAACTGGTTGAAATTGTTTTCATCACTCGATAATTTAAATAGTGAGATATCGATTTAATAAATACCTTCGATCAAGGAACGCACAGCAATTTGTGACCTAAATAATTATAGATAACAACGTTTTACTCATTTATTCATACGCAAGTTAACATGAAATAAATTAAATAAGAACTTTCAGATGGTAGTGCATGTTTTAATCTTTTTGCTCACGGTTTGTAAAAAAAATCACCGAGAAATTTTCATCACAAAAAAAAAAATATTGAATATTAAAATCACTGGTAAACTTACCCCGAATCTAAAAATTAATGAGAAAAAAAAAAAAAAAACGCACGTTATTTAAAGGCGCTGCCTGTACTACGTATTTACATATATTACGTAATGTGGTGTAAAAAACCATTAATTTTCTTTCGGGTGAAAAATTTAACATAATGGCATTAAACTGGGCTATGATCGCTTCTGACGGGAAGACTCCTGTCCCTCTTCCCGGAGAAAAATATCTTTTTAGGTAAAGATCTGAATGTGTTCCCACTAAACTCATTGCGCCTTTACTAAATTTTATTTAAAAATCTTAGTCAAGAAAAGGTTGTTTTTGAATTAGATCTAGGCGGGTAATGTGAAAATTATCTTTAATATATATGGGTCTTTCAAACCAAAGGTTTGCACCTGATTGATGTGGACCATACATTTCCAGCGGGTATCCTGGAAATCCAGGAACCTATAAAGCCGATGGAAATATTTTTATCACAAATCAACGAGTGAGTTCAATGTTGAATCTTCATTACCGTACCTCGATCATCTAAATTCAATTGATACATTGAATTTCTCTTTGGCTCATAAAGATCATATTCGTTTCCCAACCATCTCTATCTTACTTCAAATCCCTAAGCATACCTATTTTGAATATGAAAGAAGGGAAACTTCAACAACCTTGGTTTGGTGCTAATTATTATCAAGGTCTTGTTATTCCGGTGAGCAACATTCTGTTTATTCAGTGATCTCAATTTTTCGTTATATCAATTAAAATAATCATCTTGAAAGGTTCCGAATGGTGGTCTTCCTTCTCCAGGTCAAATGAAGATTACCTTCAAAGAAGGCGGTAATAAATATTTGAAATTTACGGATACTCGGGATCACGATGTTTACAAACGTTAACGTTTTCTATTACACGAATTAAAAAAGGTGGTGTCGATTTTAGCACTTGTCATAGAGAATTAATATTAAGGATGGCAGGTTAGCAACAATTGTGGATTAATTGGGCGTCTTTCACCATTAGATTTTTTTTAAAAAAAAAATTTCCGACCCTTTTAATATAGAGAATGAAGGATCTGCCGCCGTCGAGCATGTAGAACCTTTGCCGATTTATACACCACAAGAGAATTCCTCAACTTCATCAACGGCACAGACTACATCTTTCGACCCTTTAGCGGCGACATCATCTATTCCTCCAACAGCAACAACTAGCCCTTTAAGGTCAAGAGTATCATCACCACCAGTTGCTCCCGAAGAATTGCCACCTAGTTATGATGATGCGATAAATCCATAATTATTCACCGACGTTTACGTCTTGATGTATCGAGTTTTCTTAATCCCCGTAGATTAGCGAGTTGTACATTATTTTTATTCACATTTAACTGGTCGATGCAATATGTTTGGCATGTATATAAATTCATTGGTCAATTTCAAATTTATTGAAATAACCACCGTCTCAGCTACAACAACCTGGTTCAAACAAAATTTCATCCATTAAAACATGTCATCCTTCCGATGTTGACCAACATTCAATGAGGTTTCCAAATTTCTATCAGAAAAATGCTGTGTAACGAAGCAGAGTAGGCTGCTTCATCCTTGTGACCTGTCAAGAGATCCTCTTCTTCTAAAGAATCTAAATCATCATCTTCACTGATATCCATAGATTCACTTTCTGCGTTTATCGATTCTTCCTCGTCATCAGACGACGAAGGACTCAAATTAGTAGTATACTTGTTGTAATCAAAGTTAAATGATTCAAGAGATATTTGACGAGACTCAAGCTTCCACTTGTCCAAAAGATATTGTATAGAACGTTTTGAGCTTTTTAAATAAATTGAAAAATGGTCAAGTATCATATTAAGTACTTTTCGCATTGAAGTATAGAATATACCTTCGCTCTTGATATGAAGTTATAAACTTTGCATTCGGTGAGTGATGGGTCAGTATGTATGCGATGGTTACAATAATATCTTCAAAATCTGTTTTCCCCAAAATATACCGAAAGATGCACGAGTATCATTAAATTCGTTATAAACAAGTGAACATTCACCGCACTATACCTTTTGGATCATAAAATGTATCGCTACCCAAAATCCAATCCAACTGTTTTCCAGATTGTTCAATATCACGTAACAATTTTAGAAGTCCTTCTTCGCGATCGTCATCACACTGGAAGAAGATTTCTCCCCATTTCAATCCTCTCACCCAAACATTCTGTCGCAATGGTTTATCATCGTCTTCCTCTGCTTTCCGATTTTCGGCTGAACTCATCAACCCGTTTAATCGAGCTCCCTCGCGTATGTTTTCGAGTATTTGTGGAACATCCGGCCTGTCGGTCAATATGACATGGGTTTCAGGAGAAAGAGACGCACACAGGAATCCAGGTAATGAAGTTCCAGCGCCTATCTGACAGAAATGGATTGAATCCTTGAATACTTTGAACAATAAACATAAATTCAATGGTAAACAACACGGGGAATTACTTCTAATATGGTTTTATCTCTGAACAAATCTTTCTGCGCCCAAATATATTCGGATAGAACAAATGCTGAGGGCCATACATAACAACCGTATGCAGGGTCCAGTAGCTTGATAAAATTAGGCATTCTTTTTCGAGTGAGGTTTTACAAGTCACACGATATGTACAAACATTCCGATAATTAACAATTTTCCATCATATGCACCTCCTTGATAATAATCACTTGCTCTTCACGTCCATTAAGAACATCTTGACCAAAACGAAAGATCTTTGTTGAATTCATCGTTGTTTTTATGTCTGTCGCGATAGGTTCATAAATCCATCGGCTGTGGTGTATTACGCAGTTAAACAATGCACACCGCAATCGCCAATATTTTTTCCTTTTATATACTGTAATCAAACACCTGTCCATTACAACGATATTTCAAATCGTCGATTGAATCTAGCCTTTTTCATACGTTAATTATCATAAAGGCGGTAATAATGGTTAGTTAATGAATTTTATTACAAACTGTACAATATAAAATCGTAGCAAAAATATCATACAGCGGGAACCTATTGTACCCTCGTAGGACAATTTCTTATATGATAATTACTGTATACGCCGAATATTCATTCATTCATAGATTTTGAATTAAAAAGACTAAAATAAGTAAATAAAAAAAATTTTTTTTTATTAATTAAAGTGTAATAAATGGTCGTTGAAAATATGATAAAAGTTGATATGGTTGTTTTTAAAGACATAAAATGAAAATTATATCAAAATATTTCAAATACTGCATTGTATATTAAAAAAGATATTAAATTATGTACAATATACCACTTTTTTTTTTTTTTTTGGGGGGGGTTTCCCCTCATAGGTAAGCATCATTTCTTTATTTGATATTGTATATAACATGGTATACATCGTGAAAGAAACAACATCTCTTACGTACATATGTAGCAAGTTAGTACAATATACCACTTATCTAAAAGATTATCTAAAAGATATAATAAATTTGCTAGAATTTATCTAGGTAAGATAGAATACTAAAATTCCTAATATGATTTATCCCTATTTTTCATTTCATATTATTTCTCAATGTTTTTAATAAATTCAATAAAAAGATTCAAACTGCAACAAGAAATTTTATATAATTTTTTAGATTTGTAGATTTTTAATTTTATTATAATATTTCAATTTGAAACTTTTGATTTTTCTATTTATTTATAGTATATACTGTATATATCTTCATCTTAATTTTTGATAGATTAGGATTAATTTACTTTGTAAAGATTCTTAATGTATTAATAAATGACAAAAGTTTAATAAAAATCTTGTATTCAATGTTTATTAAAAAAAAAAGTTATATATTTGAAAAAAGAATTCTTTTCCATATACAACATTTTTTAAAAAATTTCCTTTTATAGTAATTTTTTCAAGATTAAAGAAACAACTATTTTTTTTTGCCTTTCAATACCCAAAAATCCTCTACACTTCTTTTATTTTTACTACAAGAATCTCAAGGAAACTAAAGAAATACACTGATGTATCGAAATGAAACCTCTGGTCAAAGAAAAACAAGTTTAGAGAGTTTTTTTTTTTTTGGATTGTATGAAAGAAAGCCTGTGGCAGTTACTTCTTTATAAACTTTTCTTGAGATTCTTTTTATTTTTACTTCTTATTAAATAAACAAATTTTCAGTTTGGATAGTTTCTCTTTTATTCAAAAAATTAAACTTTACTTCAAAATTGTCTATATTGTTAGTTTGAAACACCAGTAATATATACAATTCCTATCATATACCACTGTATACAATACTTCCCTCCAAATACTACCCCTCACTAATAATACCAGGTAGTATTCAAGAAAATTGTTACTTGATAATTAATCACTACCCAGATATATTAATATAATAATAAGTAAGACAATATTATTTTGAATTTTATAATAATGATATACCCTGCCACTAATACTACCCCCCTTTTAGTATAATACCCAGAGTATTGTATGCAGTGGTATACAGTACTTCTCAACATCACTTAATATATACTGCTATGTCACAAAAAATCAAAAATTCTCAATCAAAAAATTTTTCACCAAAAAACTACAATCAGTTTATTCTTGTCATTTGATTATCATTTCAAATTCAATCAATCAAATACTATCAAACATCAAAACAAATTCATATTATCAGTATATTACACAACAATTAATATAAACAAAATCATTTTTAGTAATAACAATCAAGACAAAATCACATCCTTATCAAACAAACCAATCATCATATTAACCATCAAACATACCAATACAATAATAACAATTACTATAATAACAAACAACATTACATATACTTTATTATTTATAATAATTAAAGAACCAAAGAGATGGAACCATAAGCCTATTCAGATATTTTCTTGGAAAAATAATTGAATTTCTATCTATAGATTTTACAGTTTATTTGATCTAGTTTTAGTCTTAATAATGTTCAAAAAAATTATATTACTGATAATCAAACCAATCACTATACCAACCATTAAATATATCAACACAATAATAACAATAACAGCTACTATAATAATAAATAACATCATATATACTTTATTATCTATAGTAATCAAAGAGCTGGAGAGGTATGATCACGAGTCTATCCAGGGACTCTCTTGAAAAAATAATTAGTTTTTTATTTATAGATTTTATAGTTTATTTAATTTAATTTTAGTTTTAGTAATGTTAATTTTTTTTTTTTCTTTCAATTATTTTATATTTAAAAAATAAAAAGACTTCACAAAATTTTCTGAGTAGATAGACATAGTTATTATTCAGATATAGATACAGCTAGTATATAATATTGTTTTAAATTTTTTTTCAATATTAGCTATATATATATGCATAAGCAAGTTAGTATTTAACTTGCTACTCTATATATATAAGAAATGTTGTTTCTTTTACAATATATACTGTATCTTGTTATATACAATATTAAATAAAGAAATGATGTTTACCTATAGGAAAAAAAAAATAAAAAATAAAAAATAAAAGTTATATCTCTTATCTAAATAAGTTTAATACTAGTTTATTTAAATTAAACTATTTTTTTTTCATAGTCAAATAAATATATATATTTATTAATTTTTTTTTTTTTTTTGGAAGGGTTTCCCCCATAGGTAAACATCATTTCTTTATTTAATATTGTATATAATATAGTATACATCGTGAAAGAAACAACATCTCTTTCATTATTTCAGGAAAGTTTAATGCTAGCT